ATGCTGATAATGAGGTGATACATGTATATGTGGGGAAAGCAGTTCGAACTCAGATACTTGGTTGGTTCTAAAGAAACTGTTTTCTCTCAGAAAAGAGATCTTGGACATGTGGTAGGTAATGTTCTGTAAACATCAGCTCACTGTCCAGACGCAGTCAAGCAAGTGAATAGAACAGTAGGGATTAGTAGAAAAGCAGCATTTAAAAAAGTATAAAGAGTGTAGAAGAGGAAAGAATTATGCCACTTTTAATCCCTGGTAGATATGCCTTCAAAGCACTGAAGCAAGGCTTGGTTTTCTAACCTGAAATAGTAGGTAGGAAAAATACAGAGGTGGACAATAAGAAGGATTAAGTACAGTTTCTGTGTAAAGAATAGCAGGATAGATTAGAAATCTTTAACCCGGAGGTCTGTTAAAGCAGGATAAAAGAGGAGTGTTGTTCACTTTCTCTGCCATTCAAATGTAGGTAAGCTGAATTCTACAGTGGTACTTCAGTTACAGATGTTCTGTCACTTCATGTGAAGCAGTCACATTGCTTGTATACTCCTTATAATGCAGGATAATGAGCCTCTGAATATTGAGCAGATATACCTTCATTGTTCTGTGAGTAATGACTAGGAATAGCTCAACTTCTTTGTTTAGTTTTGAATCCAGGGGAGAAGGGAGAAATGCCACTGGAAGAATGTGGTATTCACTGCCTGCATTGTTTGGAAGCTTGGTACATTATGGTTACTGGGAAGATGAATCTTGAAGATGAATGGATTAAAACATTTCACATTTCATTAATGTGAAAAAGTAGTCGAAAAGGTGTGTAAAATCTGAAATGCCAGGAACCTTACCTTTTCATTTTTAATTACCTGAGATCTTTATTTTGAAAGCAAAGGGAATAAACTACTGGTTTTTTTCTGGCTTTGCATAGCTCTTTGCAAAGAAGCCACTGAAAACCCAATGTTTCTGTGATATTACTATTCATCAGAGGCAAAAGTGTGGGGCATCATGTTTGTTTAATGTTTTATGGTCTCAGGATTTGCCCACAAAGGGATCTCAGTTCTTTTTTGCTTAAAATCAAGTTGTAACCAAGTAATCATCACAAATACAATAGTTTTCCAAGTGAGATAAAGTATACTAATTCTGCCTACCTAGTCATTACGTAATGCTCAAGACAAAAAAATAAGTCTACATATTCCACACAGAGCATGATTAGTTTGCTTCTAGTATTGCATTAGCTAGCTTCTAGTATTGCATGTAACTTGGCTGATGCAAGATACTGATGCTTTGTGAAACAAATCCTTCTGATTAATCTTTAAGTTGAATGAACACGCTCCGGTATTATGCATTAATAGGATGCTACAAAAAATCCACCAATGCATTCCCTTTAATTGTGCATTATCCTGTCAACCTAAGTTTAACTATTTCACATGAGCAGTTTCTCACTTGTAAATCAGCAATAAAAGGTTTATTTATAATACCTTTCAACAAGATTCTCCGTTCCTTATATTTCTTGAAGATTGAACAATGTTATGTTCAGCACAGTTCATGTTAACATGTCTGTTCTAGTTTTAGGTGTCTCTCCTCAGCTTCAGAGATGGTTTTTTTAAAGTTCCTGAAATAGCCCTTAGTTTTTCCACAATAAGAGGTTTGCCTTTAGCTCCCTGTCAAACTAATCAGGTTTGATGGTGGAGGGACATTATGTGGGACACCTCTGCAGCTGAGCAGCATCTCAGGCAGACTGAACACAGTTCATTAGCACCATTTCACCCAGGGGCTGAGTGTGCTATCTGTACAGGCTTCTGAGTCCTGCAGACATAATCTTGACAGTAAGAGGACTAAATGGGTTGTTTCAAGTCTTGCTGCCCTGGTCACTGCACCCTCAAGGCTAGATTCTTACTGTCACTGGAACTGGTTTGTCACAGCAGGCAGCAGATGGCCAGGTGGAATGGGATGTTTTTTTCCCCAATTATAGATACATAGTGAGAGCACACTGGTGGTGCTCTCAACATACAAATAAATAAAACATCTGCACTACTCTCAGACAAAGCAGGAGGAAAGCAGGAGAGTGGTCCCCCTTTTTCATCTTTGCTCTGTAAAGTAGAAGACTCCTGATAGAAAAGTGCAAGAAAATTTCATTCTAATCTCACCTGGAGAACACAGTCCATACAGATCATTCAGAGACAATGAATGGAAAATGCCGTTTTGGAAGGTGAGCCAAATGCGTCTCCCTCACATGCCCAGAAGTTAGCTACAGCTTCTTCTGCAACAGCAGCAGAAGTTTCTCTGAGAATGAAGAGGAATGGAAGGAGAAAACAGCAGCAGTGAAGTAGGAAAAATGTGGTCTTTCTAGATGTCTACTAAAAGGACGCCTGTGGTTACTTTGGGAAACCACTAACTGAGAGGGTGAGATTTGGAGATCCTGGAAAGCACCAAGAATGTCGGGAGGTCTCTTATATTGGGGAGGTAAAAGTTAAATTTGCCAGTACTAATATTCCCAGCTAAATCCCACATACTTTCTGGTGAGTAGATTTTGTGACACTTGTTCTGCAGCTAGATCACCTTTCAGAGAAGGATCTATCCTTCAATAGGATTTATCTTAATTGGAGACAATATAAAATATTATAAGGTAGCATAAAATTCTTCTCTGTACAGATACTACAATGTACAGAATACCTTTCTGTGAAGTTCCTTCTCGAAATAACAGTGTCCATGTATATGTTCATATGTGAATATTTGTGGGTGTGTATATGTGTGCCTAAATCAGGTATATAGGCAGTGCCTAGTATCTTTTATTTTGCAATTTTGCTTTTTCAGCAGGAGTTGAAGTGTCATAAAAATACCATGAAAATGCAGTCTTATTTTTTTTTCCACATACCAATGTTCCTGTTCTTTCAAATAATGTAGGAACTCTATGCCAAATTTAGCCTTATTTTTCTCAATCATAGTTTGCTAGGATCTTTTTCATCCTGAAGATTTATTAGAACTGGGTATTTAGAACTGCGTAGGTTTCTAAAGGTGATGTATTTCCTAGGAGGTTTTTATGGACAGACTCTAAGACACTGGTGTGTGTCTTGTGAGGTATAAGGTATTTAGTGGAGTAGCGAATACAATTCAGTGCATCACTTCACAGCATCTCCTGACTGCCCTCACCTGCTGAACCCAGGAGTTACTGCTGCTGTAGCTAAAGCAGCAGGATACAGTACACACTTGCATCTCGTTACTCCAGTTCACAGTCCAGAAAAATAGTAAAGCCAAAAAAAATGGAGGTAACTTTGTGTGAAGACCCCCAGACTGGGAACTGGAGAAGCTAATGCACCAATGGACATCCTTTTCTGCTGGCTGTGTTGTGGAGTGTGATGATGTCCAGCACAAGGAGTGGGCAGACTGATAAAGCCAGTAGAACCTTCAAATGACACAGCTTAATTATCCAAAAAATGTCTGCCAGAGCATGTGCTTATGTGGAGCTTATCTTCAGTGCAGGAGCATGGCACCAACGTTCAGAGAACCTAAAATCACATGGAAACTTGTTCTTCTTTCATATGGCAGTAAATGCCACGCTTTATTTCTAGTGTCACTCATAGCTCTTTCAACAACATGGTTGTCCAAGTATCTCCCCATCTTTGCTGAATCACTGCTGTGTGGACAAGTGTTTCCCTGCACATGATTCTGTTCTAAGCAGTGTGTATTCCTGTGTGTGCTGTGCTGGGGGCTCTTTGCAAATGGGTGGGGAGCTGTGAGCCCAGTGTGCTGGCAGGGCAGGGCTCTGTCCCTCCCCCATCCCCCAAATCATGCCAGCCAGGCAGCCCTTGGAAGCCAGCCCATGTTGATGTGGCTGTGGAGCATTTGGGTGGTGTTTGCAGTTCAATGGAGCAGGCTTCTGGGTGAAAGGGGAAAGCCTAATTTTGTCTTTGGTACCATGGGCTAGTTTTGCAATGCTGTGTACTAGCAGGAGAGAACTGGCCCGCACTCATCTTTTGCAATCATTTTAATGCAATTAGAATGAAATTATATTCTTAATTGGTATCAAGGTGGTACTTTATGGTGATATCTGAGTTGGAGCCAGGCTCTTGCCATGCTGCCATGTGTGCCATCTGCACACATACTCCCATGACCGCCTACCTAAGGACCACCTGTAAGGCACCTAAGGCAAAGGGACCACCTGTACCATTACTGAGTGCTTCCCCTTTACTGCTTTACAAAATGACATGGCAGGCCTGTGAGGGAAATGTCTACTTTTTCACTGACTGGTGAAAAATGCTGCTTTCGAGAATTAAGAAGAAGAGGTGATGATGAAGACATGGAGGAAATAATCCTTTCCATCTGTTCCTAAATATATTCACTTCATACAGTCAATTTGTTTATTGAGATGAAGATGTTATTTATAACATTTACTTCAAATGAGAAACAATTTGTAGTACCCTATAGGGAAGATGGGGTCTGTTTTTACCAGTGTATCACCAAACCCACATGTGATGTGTTTTGTCCAGTTTGCATATGCATTGGTCATAAATGGTGCCCAGAAGTGGAGATCTGTCCCATTCATTTTGTTTTTATAAACCAGCAACAGTGAAAGCCCATTGTAGCTTTTTAAGAAGTTGCTAGAAGAGTATGTTATTTTTAAACTTTGAAGTCCCTATAAATCAAAGCATGTCTTATGTGGAGGTTTTTTCTAAGTAAATGTAAAGTGTTCTTCTTTTTATGAGAAATCATTTTGCTCTTTTGTGAAGCATTTTCTTAAACTAGGAAAAGCTTTGTTAAAAAGTCCTCATACGATGATAATGTGTGAACAAATGTAAAATATAATTTAGATTGGGAGTCTTTTTATAAATTATTTTTCTTTGTTTTATTGCTAATGCAAATGCATTTCAAAATCAAAGTAACTGATTAGAATCCACAGATCTTTACATTGCTACTGAGACTGTGTTTTAATTTCTTTGACATGATCCCTGATTGCTGTGAGAAGAATCAGTTCAGTATTTTTGTTCTTAGATTCCCCCTCCTTTGTCTTGCAGCTACTTGTGGCAGATTCCATTAACAATTGCAGTAGGAAATACGAGCCACATCTCATCAGAGGCAATTATATGGGTGTCTAACAAATCAGGTAAAAATAAACTTTCCTCCCAGTGGAATCTCATAAAGCATACTTGTGTTTTCCTCAAATGTATCTTTGGAATTGATCCTAGGTAATTGTTTAGTTGCTCTGCACCCAGTTTTAACTGCTTAAAATAAATTGCAAAAAAAGCAGAGCTGGGAAGGGAGGGAGGAGGAATGAAGGATGAGCAACAATCTAGATTTATAATATTGCAGAATTTAGACAGTGTAATGTAAGCTTTTACAAAGCAATGTAAAGTACTAAGTATTTTATATTTGGCAATACATGTCAAATCATTGATGAATGCAATTCACTTTATTGATTGGTCAAAGTTAAATGTAATATGGTATAATGAAGCAGATGTGATGAGTATGGTTTAGTGCATTTAGAATTCTAACATTTTTAACTTGATCTGTAGTCTGAACCAGGCCTAAGAAATGGTTGCTGTCATTAAATTTATCTTTATTGATCTATCAATAATATTTGTTCTCTCTGTTAGATAACCATATGCTGGACCTCAAAAGTGCATTGTTCTGCTTACTACTTATTTTCTTTTTCCTCAGTTCCTGCATGATCATAACAGTAATAGTTATTGTCTGGGGGAGAGTGCTAGGTAGCAGTGGTTTTTTATCACCTGAGAAAGGAAGCCTACCATAGAAATTTTATTAAATACTTAAATAATTTCCTTAGCACCTCATGCTACCGTGTCTGACAGTTTTGGACTAGAATTGAAGAGAGCGAGGGAAGACATGTGGGGACTTGAATATAGAAGGGAAAAAAAGGATGCATGCATCCCCTTGACATGGGGGCTTTAGAAGGAGAACTTACCCTTTCTTTTATAATTAGAAAGGTATTGAGATTTTCCTCTAACAGAAAACTAATGGGAGAGAAGAGAGTCAAATTTGTGTGAGATGTTTGTTCTCTTTTGCAAGTTACTAAAATAAATTAGTCACTAAGCTTAACAGCCAGAAGGACTGGAAATGAATGGTGTATGGTCAGTAGAAATCTGAGTACTCCAGCTTTATAGTGGTACAAGGTATGTTTTTCTTTAACCAAATCATTTGCAGCCTATGAGAAAGTAACATATTTTATGCTGCTCCCATGATAGAATGATCTAGAAATGTGCCTGCAACCAGAGCAATTTTAATACCTGGGAAACATCCTCTCAGCAAAGCATACAGGTTTTGCCTTACTTTTCTGAAATTTACTGCTTTGGCCACGCTTTTTAACATTAACGCTTCCAAAATACTTCAAGACCTGTTTGCACATTTAGAGTCTGCCTTAATGACCTGCTCTACTTTTGTCCTTTAGGGCTTGATTGAACTCTCACTGAAGTTATTAGCAAGGTTCCCACTGACTTCAGAGCGAGTTGATCGTCCCATCTCATTAGGTTGCACATGCATGCCTCCCTCCCTTCACTCTCACATTCAAAGTTCAGTATATTACTATTTTCTACATAGATGCTTCCTCACTGACTTTTACTTGCAGAGTGCTGTGGAGGAATAAGTCTATAAAACTGCTACCCACTCTTTTAAGATCTACTGCTTCTATTGGAATGCCTTCAAGAAATCAACAAATTAATGATGGCCAGTGTGAGCAATTATTTTGGGCTGGCTACTGTATAGAAATTAAAGAGGAACCTTTCCGAGTCATCAGTCTCCTGTGTAGCAAATCAATGACACTGTGATCTATTGTCATTATCCTTGTTCTTCCTCATTACTTTCACTCACTCATTCACTTGCTGTGCCTCATTGAAAATGAGACTGTAAACTTATGACTACAGCAAGAATGCCCTCTTGCTTCCACTTATTGTGGTCTAACTCAGATGAAGAATTCCTCAACACAGAAATGTCAGTAAGAACATGCCTGAATGTATACACAATGTATGATTGATTGTACATGCTACTATGTATTGAGGCTGGTATACATGATTTTGTGATATTCCTGGGAGTTTTTCTGCAGCTGGTATGTTTGTTTCATGGGGATGAGGGAGGAATTCTGAGACTCCAAGGACAATTTCCAGCTTTGATTCTTGTGGACTGGAAGAATCTGGAAGACTTTCTGTTGTACAGAGGACAGTTTCAGTATTGTCCCAGTGGGTAGTCTTGGAAAAAGTCTGCAAGCTGGAGGTGAAACAAACTGCTCCCGAGGATATTTGGAAGATTGGAAGTGGTCACATTGTTCTTCAAGTGAGTGTAATTAAATGCAGATCCTCAAATCAACTTTGGATTAAATGCTGTTCATGAGGATGGTTTCCGTGCACTTTTTAGGAAAGAGTAGGCAATTCCTTCTTGTTGATTAAACTGTTGTGCTGAAGGAGCTTCCAGTGTGACTTGGAAGAGTGGATAGGAGCTAATGACCTCTGTTGTTTGTTATTGTGATGTGTTGACCCTGGCTGGACGCCATGCACCCACCAAAGTCACTCTATCACTCCTTTCTGAAACTGGACTGAGGAGAGAGAATATAGCAAAGTGTTCATGGGTCTCAGACAAGGTCTGAGTTAGAGATCCCTCACCAAGTACTCACCAAGTACTGTTTCAGCAAAACAGACTTGAAATGGGAGCAGGATAATGAGAAATAAAAACAGACCTTAAAATGCCTTGCCCCCCTCCCCACCCTTCTCTGTTTCCCAACTCTGCCTCCTCTCCCCTAGTGGTGCAGGGAGAAGGGAATGGGGACTATGGTCAGTTCATCACACGTTGTTTCTCCCGCTGCTCAGGGAGAGTAGTCTCCCCAGCTCTAACATGGGGAAAGACTCAAAGTCACAGCCTCCTCTCAGGCATCCACCTGCTCTGGTGTGGATCTCCTCAATGGGCTGCAGGTGGATCTCTGCATCTCCAGTGGATCTCCGTGGGCTGCAGGGGCACAGCTGCCTCACCGTGGTCTTCACCACAGTCTGCAGAGGAATCTCAGCTCTGGTGCTTGGAGCACCTCCTGCCCCTCCTTCTCCACTGACCTTGGTATCTGCAGGGTTGCTCCTCTCACATGTTCTCACCCTGCTCTTCTCTGGCCACAGCTACGTTTGAGCAATAACTTCTTTTTTTCCTTCTTCTACTTAAATATGTTACCACAAAGGCATTACTACCAATTTCAGTTGGCCCAACCTTGGCCAGCAGCATGTCCATCTTGGACCCAGCTGGTGTTGGCTCTGCTGGACACGGGAAAAGCTTCTGGCAGCTCGTCACAGAGGCCATTTCTCTGTCCTCCCCACTGCTACCAAACCTGGCCATGCAAAACCAACACAGTCATTATTACTTATCACACATGTAATTTCAGCTGCCAATAGGGAAAAGCGTTCAAGCTGACGACTACCACTGTGAGATCGCTGGCATATCACTTAGATCTTCCAATAAAATTAACCTTGTCTGTGGGTTATCTGAGAGAAATGAAACCACAGCAGTTTTGAAATAGCTACATATAGAAATACATCAAAAAGTGTTCCTTTTTTTTTTTTGGTGGTATTTCAGATAACAATATCCATCAGGAAGGAGTAAACCTTGTGCCTTGCCCTAGCTCACCAAGAATGGTTATTTGCCGATGTAAGAGTCTTTTCCTTCATGTGCATCCAGAAAGACAAAAGAGAGAATTGTTGATTTTTGCATCCTCTCCTGCTACTGTGTCTGTGACTTCATCAAGATGTTGTAGGATACCAGTTGGTATTTTCATGAACAAGGGATATGAGGCTGCTCTCCAGCTTTTTGAGAGAGACAGGAATTTGGGGTGATTGAGTTGCTGCTCTGTCCTCATCTTGTCTGTCTCTGGCTACATGCCAGAGGTAGTGAGCATGCAGATCACTGATTGTTCAATATGCTGAGTAGGATCAGTTCAGATAACTGCATGTCACCACAATTGCTGGCAATAGTGCTAGATCTGTCCATTCTTCACAGCACTGAAGTGAAGACACACACTGGAAATTACAGCTATGCAGTGTCTACTTGAGTTGTAGTTCATTGTGCTTTGCAGGAAATCCTATAGGGATATAGTGCCAGGCCTTGGCAACTTGTTTGACAAGGTGCATAATATCCAAGATGTTTCAAATTTAATACAGCTCTTCCCACCTGTTTGCTGAAGGTATGTAAGCATAGTTTTAAAAGCCTTTCATTTTGCAAGTGCTTCTGGCAGTCTCTTCTTCTTTTCCAGTGAACCATAGCATTTATGTAACCGCATTTCTACTCATCAGTTCATATACCAGCCATGAGATGGTCCTTTTACTGGGTTCAGTTTGTCTTGTGTGTGAAATGGAGCTCTCATTTGCTCTCAGAGTGCTGCACAAATAGGTCACCACCAGCTTTTTTCCCTGTTCACTCTCCACCTCCATTAATGAGGCTGTTCTGCTTCAAGTGACTGTAAGCCAGTCGCAAAGGAAATATTCTGAGGGCTATCAGAATATCTTGTGCCAAACCTTCCTATCCATGCTGAGGTCAGAAACATCATGCTAAGATGGCTTTGTGCCTCAGTCTTGCAGGCATGCTGAATGATAAATTTTGCTGGTAGTGTGGAAATTTGTGTTACAAACTTCTTCTGTCATATTCCAGGGCTTATTTCTGTTTCTCCTAGATAAGTTGTCTCTTTTGTGGTTGCTGTAATGATCTGTGAATATGTATCCACAGCGTTTTGGGATCAGCCCAAAATCAGTAGTGGGTAGAGAGCCAAGAACCAGCTTTGAAGCCATTCCATCCCTATGACTGCTAAGCAGGGCTTGTGGGAATGTGATGGTGATTGCTGATGAAGGTGTACTAGGTGTGGAAGCACAGGCTTATCTGTGCATGTTCCTGCAAATCCAGAACTGACCTTAACCTCAAGTCAGGATTTTAGCATCCATTTCCAATAGGTGAGCAGAGCTTTGGAAAAAGGCATACTTGCTGTTCCTTAGCAATCACTGTTCTGGTGCTCAGTCTCCAAATAGGAAACATGTCCCTCAGCAAGTGCTGCTGAACTGGCTGACACAGTTTTAATCTGCCTCCCTGCCCTTTCCATCCCCACCTCCTGTTCATTAACTGATTTTTTATGTTCCAAATACTCCTTAAATAGACCTCCCTACCCCAGTTAAAGTGACTGTGTTCAGATTGCTCCTAATATCTCCTCAGGAGTCCCATGAGATGGCGGAGAGAAAGTTCAACAGGGCGATTCCCTTCCAATAGCAAATCCCAATTTACTTTGCCACCTCCTATTAGATAATCTCTACTTTAAGCCACTCAACAGTCAGATTCTCCTCCAGGAAGTGTTTTGTAGAAGACAGATGCTTCTGAGCTGGGGTTTGCTGGCTGCCCGCTGGGGAGCAGGGCATTAGTTGCAGCTTTAGAAAAATACCCTTTCTTTTCTCTTCTGAAACTCAGCTGCTGAGCTTTACCTGTGTTGCTTCCAGACTCCACTCTTTAATCTTCCAAAAGTAGGAAGAAGGGGAGCACTGTGAAGAAACATCAATGTACAGGTCCTGCTTTGAGCTTCAGCCAGCCATAGTGAGGACCAGGGATACAGGACTTGGAATCCTGTGTTATTTTGACAGAGTGGGTCAGAATCATTCCCCTTATTCTAACAGCTGAGTGAAGATCCTAGCAGAAGACTGCTGCTTACATTGTGTATCACCTTAGACATTAGCAGTTCCATGATATGGGACTATTAATGGATGGAAGGGTAATCTGAAGGAGTTATGTGAGATGGAACGTGATCATATTTCCTGATGTGCTCCATTTATTGTGCTAATCTCTTTGCCAAAATATTTACTTTCAGCATGGAGCTATGGCAACATGGTAAGTGAGATAAAACTTTTTTCTCTGGTTTGCCTTCTCCCAGTATGAAAAATTCTTGCAAGAAGATTTGCAGAATTTAGTTAAAGCCAGTACAAATTATTGTGAAATTCCTCATGGAACACTTTTTTGCCAGAAAAATTTTGCTTGCTGTTTTTGTCAAGAAATTGTGCTACACTTGTGCAGTTATTTTTGCAGAAAAATGGAGTCAATTCCCCCAGTAGTGATTCTACTAGCATAAACCAATTTCTTAGTATGAATTTCTTAGGGGTTGTATAAAGTGAAGAGTTAAAATTTTAGCAGCTGTGAGTCTGAAGACTTGAAATGGTACTGGTACTGTGTTTGGTCCATGCTTTTGGCAGTACTCTCTTGCAGAAGGGTGCCCTTCTCCCAGGCTTGCCTCACATGCTGGTTTTGCTGGAATTGAAGTTGCTGGGAGAGCTCAGAACTTCAAGCCACATGCACCAGCTGGAGGGCCTGTCTCACACTTTGAGAGCAGACAAACTGGGAAACAGACCCTAACTGATTTTTTACTTCAAAACAAATGTCATAAAGTTTAACCATTTCCTCCTAAATGCTTCCTATATGTATTTGGCAAAACTAGAAATTTTAGAGCAGTGTTATTTTCTGAGGCATCCAGACAAAACATGACCCTGGAAAAACAAATAATCTTCTTCCTTTCTGATGGAAGAAGATTAAAAAAAATTCCTTCAACCTCAAATACAACAGGATATATATTTTAGATCAGCTTTTGAGAGGTGAACTAAAACCTTCAAAGATGGATTTCATTCCAAATGAAATATTTGTTGTTGTTTAGAGAGTTACAAATGGTTTAATATAGGGTATAACACTGAGTTACTACCTTTTTGCTTACTATAATACTTTTAATAGGAAACTAATAAACGTGTTCATGGTAAGTGGAAACATTACCCAGGTGTATAGAAATGTTTAGTGCCTGTAATTGCCAAAAGAAATAATTTCTTTCATAGGAGAGCATGAGAACTGACAGACACAAATATCAAATTCTGCTAAATTATATAGAACTGTACAAAGCACATGTATCAGGCAGTCCCTTAAAGCAGCCACCTCTTTATGTGTTGGGAGTTGGGAAGGTGTGAAAGACTTCTGTCCTTCATTTCAGGAGAATGTCAATACATAAGTGGTCTTATTGAAAAACAATAGCAAGAGGTTATAGTTGTATTTAAACTGGTGAAACAGTAATAATGCAATCGTGCTTTGAAAAGATACTCTCCTCCTTTATAGTGATATGTATGGAGGGGTGTTGCACAGCTGTTGCATGTGAAATAGCTTATTCTGAATTTGTCATATTTGACTGGCAAGTATCATTCAATACACTGTTGAAGCATAAGTAATTTCCTCACTTTGGGGGTGAAAATGTAATACAAATGCTCAAAGAAGAAAAGGTTCATGTATTTTTAAATTAAATATGATATTGAAAATTTCCATTTAATGCTTTTATTTACCCAGATATTGTTTAATGTGTGCTGATAGCCTATTTGGTGTGATTTTAGGTAGCATTGTAGAGGTGAAAAGGTTAACCAGTTACAAGTAGCTGCTTCCAGGACTGGTGGCATTTAAAGGTTAGTTTGCAACCAAGGAGCATGGGCAGAAAGCTGTACTGCATTAAGGTGGTATAAGGTTACAAAGGAACAGGATTCAAGTCTTCTCTAAATAGGATGGAGCAACGGGCTGGTTCTGACTTGGAACCAATGAAAAAAGGATTTAAACAGAGGAGCAAGTCTAAGAGAGTTTGCTTAGGACTGATCTGTACAGCCCCTTGTGGAAGAAAGGACACACAAGAGTTAGAGCCTTGTTCCAAATCAGATTGTATGGCAAAAGCAGCTTAGGTGCTTGGACAATAGGAACACCTGGGAAGTCCACAGAGTTGTAGGACTCAATTCAGATTTTCTCAGTCCTATTTCTGCAGGATATGTTGGATCCTAGAGAACGTGTCTGCTTGGTGCTTTACCATGTCTGCTTGGTGCTTTACCACAGATAAAAGAGCAATAACAGTTGAATTGAATAGGCAACAACTGAATTATTCTGGGCTTAATATTTTTAATAAGTGTATTTTTAAGAGATTTTAATGTTTTCAGAACTACCTAGGAGAAAAGAGGACTTTATATTAATCCTGCAGTTTTTTATCTGAATCTATGTGCATAATGCAGGTCCATGAAATTAAACATGGAATGATGTGTTTTTCAGATTCAGGTCTTGATCTTGGTACGTACTGCACCTTAAAACAGTAGTTTTTTGTGGGTTTGTTGTTAGTCAAGGGAGAAGCACAACTTTTATCTGTAGCCCTAGTTAACTATTATTTCCTCAGAAATTACTTTTTTTATAAGAAAGACTGAAACAAATCAATTTCTGTAATAAGCCTATGTACTAGATAGTATATGTGAATTGTAAAGATCATACTGGTAAGTTTTTTCCCATTCGTTACCTCACACCAAACAATTCCATAATGGAATTGCATTTAGAACAAAATTTATATATTTCTTTTTTATTTTTAAAAATGAATGACTAAACTGTTCCTTCAACAGTGTACAAACTAGTTTTATTGGTTGAAAAAGTGTTTCTGAATTTCTAGTGAGTTCTCATTCATGGTTAGTTTTGTCAAAGTAATTTACTAGTTTGAACACTTCTTCCAGAGGTGAAGCCTGATACTTTGTGGCATGATGAAAAAGTAGTACATGTTGTGAGTTCAGGGCATTTCTGTTGTTGAAATTTTGAAATCCCTATTCCTGCAAATAGTTGTGGAGTGCCTAACTGCACAAAAAGTAATGAATTTAGACTTTCAGCCCTCAACTGATTACTTAAAACAAGGGGAAAGATAGAGAACAGGTTAGGTCGTATAAGGTTAATTGGTCTAGCTCTAAAGAGGAGGTTCTCAGTGCTTAGTAGCTAGAAGCTGTACAACTGGAAGTACTTTAATTTAAAATCCAGTGTAAAAACTTAATCAAATACATGCAGAAACACTTAAGAATCAATTTTTTTAATCACAGGTTTACTCCTCTCTCTATAGCACATTCACTGAATTTTTTGAGTTACAGTTGTAGGAAACTATTTAAGCATGGCCAGAATAAGAGTACTAGACTTAAAGTGGGTACTGCTCATGAAAAAATATTTGCCAGGAAAGAAAGAGCACAGTTGAAGTCCTCTGTGGGTAAAAGGACCCCATGGGAATGTCAGTTGGCATTTCTCTACATCAAATACAGATACATTTATCTACAGATAAAGGAAATTATTAATCAAACACAGTATTTTTATTAGTCTTTTAGTTAATTTTACTGTCTTCATGTATATTTAAAGAAGGAGAAAATGTAACAGATGTACCTTTAGAATGTTTTAAAACCAATACCCCTTCCCTTCTTCTTCTTTTTTTCCAGAACACCACAGAATTCCTGCTTTGGAAGAGGCAAGTTGGTTGCTGGGGAACATAAACCAGACTGGCTACTTTAGAGTTAATTATGATATTAGGAATTGGAGGCTGCTAATTAATCAGCTAACAAGGAACCATGAGGTAATCTCCTCATCCCTAAAATGTGCTTTCATAGAAGAACCTTCACTGTTTCATCACCTTAAATCTAAATGGTTCAATTTTTGTGCTTGCTCCTCACAGGTTATCTCTGTCAGTAATCGAGCAGGCTTGATTGATGATGCATTCAATCTAGCCAGGTATGTTTTCCTGAAGATCATCTATCCTCATACACATTGTTGCAATAACTCATGCAACCACTAACTCAGCAGTTGAGTGTGTTTCAAAGTTAAGTATGTTTTAAACACACTTTAATTCCTCTCCCCTGCTTTTTTAAAAAAAAATATATATTTTTTTTTTGTATAGCACATAAACATGGTCTGAAGCACATTCACTGCTCTTGATCAATAATTGCCATAGGGTATTTCCGAGTCTGAAGAGATTTGATCAATTTTGCAGCAAGTTCAATTTAACACTTTGCAGATAAATAATCTCTTTCCTCCTTCTCTAAAGAATGAGGGCTTTCTCTTCCATTTCTTCCAGTTGTCCCACCTCTCCTTTATTTTACCACTGATCCTTCTGCTGTATTTAATTTGAGATGGAAGGCACCTTCAAGCTTCAGTAATTATTTTGTCCTAACTTGTACTGTTAGATCATTTTTCCAGTATCTTTTCTTACAATCTGCTAGAACAGACTTTTTTTTTTGTCTGTAGTGCTTTTCAAACATAATGGAAAAGCAGTTCCATTGAGCATTTCTGGAACTTATGCAACATTTTGTGTTTTATTACGATGAGAGTTAATAATTAACACATACAGTGCTGGTTAGGTAGAGCCTTCTTTACAAATGGAGGCAGTGGATTGGTCCCCATTTTGAAATCCAGTATGTTGATAGTGGAAGTGTAAAACAAGAGGGAAATAGTGGAATATTTGTAACTTTTTGATTTTGAGGTACCTGGGAGCATAGCATTAGTATAAGTTTTTAACTGCATAATTACAGATTTAATTGCAAAATTGCAAATAATGTGATTTTACTTGCGCTGTCATGTTAAAAGTATGAAAAGAATTCCTGATACTACTTGTCTTTACACTTAACTAAAAATGGTCACCGGAGGTGTTTGTGCTTCAGTCACAGTGTCAGAGCTCAGTGATGCTCTAGCATCACTGCAGTAAAACACAGTTGTGTGCCCTAGCACTGTGTTCCTGCTGCTGACATAAAGTAGTGATTAGCCCCTACTAAACAGTCCAGAGATGTAGTAGGGAAGGAGGTATCATGGGGAGAGGTATATCCATTTGCTTTTGGCACTGCCCTTCATTCTTGCTTTGTGACTTCTTCCCATTGGAAACAGTAAAGAACTAGAAATACATCATTACATCAGACTTCAGATGATCATGATTTGTCTTCTGTCTGTCTAGAAGAACACTACAGATTATTCTGAAATATCTACACTATTAGAAGAATTACCAAATGTTGAGTATAGTCATAATCTGTTCCAATTTTATTTGATTTTGACACCTCAAAGAAGTAGTGTTCAGTTCCAGAGACCCAGTATGTCACCTTTTTCCATACACTGAATGCAGTCAGATGTGGCTAGATTTCCCTGAAAGTCTAGTTTCTGAAAAATGCTGCTTCTTAAGCCAGTTTTTGTCGAGTGTTTTTCTTCTGAGTCAGTATTGAACCAGTGCTCTTGTATGTCTTGTTCATAGCATATTAAGGTGAGGTCTTGATTAAAGACCCAACTTGCATTTTCTGGCCAAGTTTTGTCTACCTAAAAACCACTCAAAAGATTGGATGAGTAATGCATTCCCCACTAATTTTCTGAAGTACTTTTATGGGGATACTTGGGGATACTAGATCCGGCACCTTTTTCAGGGGTAACTACACGAGAGCCCTGTGAAGTCTTTCACAAGGTTTCACATTATAAAAACTTTGTTTTGTTAATGATGGTCTGCAGACTGCTGCTACATTTGGTCTTCATGCACTGTGGAGAAAAAGTAGTGGAGCTATAAATACATGTCTAGACACATGTGCATACATGGATATAACTCAAGAGGAAATATTCTTCCAATAGGGATATGTAGCTAGACTCCCATTTCCAGAGTCCTGTCAGTAGTGTTACCTTGAGTGTGTGTCTCATAAGCCAGTCTGATTGGAGGAAGGATCTGTTTGCAAACAGTAGATTCATGGTCTGTAGTTCAAGAGTAGCAGTAAGATATGTGGACCTGGCTAAACCTGCCATGCAGGGTATACTTCTTGTTAATCTTTGTTACGTTATCAATTTATCATCTTCCTATTTAAAAAAAAAAAAAACCCAAACAATTATAGTGATGCTGAAGTTATTCTGATTGACTGGCTGACAATATGGTAACTTTTTAGGAAAAGCTTGGTATTTTTTATTTTCATTCCCCTTCTCCCAGACAGAAACAAAGACCAGCAATAGGCATAATACTTACTATGTTCCTTTGTGATGAATAGGACTAAGAAGGTGTTAAGAGATTCTTAGCAGTGTGTTGAGGGCTCGTCTTGATGTCAAAGCATCAGAACTTTGCAGAATACAAAAGCAGCTGAAGAAGCTTTTGGTGGGACAGGTAATGGGAATTGAACCCTGATGCTGCAGTGTGGTGCAGCTTCTCCTGCTGTGTTTGGTGCTTTGATGTGACACAGCAGTGTTCCTAAAACAAGCTCTGAGGGCTATCAGAATAACACAGACACTTCCAATTTTCTGGAAAGGTCACTGTTCAAAAGGCCGCTGTCAGCCTAAAAGCAGCTTATCTTTCCCTCCCTTGGCTGCAAGGTGCAATGCAGAAAGTTGCCCCACTTTATTTTGGAGCAGTACCATAGTTGGATGTCATCTGCCTCATGGGTGCTGTGCTGGTTCAGTCTTGTGTCCGATGCACAGCCAGCATTTCTCCCTGCCCGTATGACATTACGTGATGGGGAGATCAAATGCGTACACTTGTCTCTGACTGTGACGTGAGAGAGGGCGAGGAACCTTATTGACCAGACATAGAAGTAGTAATTGGTAGTTCAGATCTGATTTCTGAGAAGACTGGCTGTTTTTAACAGTAATTCAGTCTTCAGTTTTGGTCCCTAGTTTAAATGATGTGTTTTCTTCTTGTCTACAACTATAAACATGCATATTTTGAGAGAGGGAAGAGAACTGTGGAATACATACTTTAATTCTAATCCTTAGCTATTTTTTTTAGTGCTAAAATAATGCAAAAATTAAAACATAATTTCTTAAATTCATGCTGGTTCTTTCAAAAGTTACTTCTAATGTAAACAGTTCATTTTACTGTACTGTGAAGACTGTATTTCTTCAAAATACCCCGCCCTTCTTAGAAATTTCTGAAGTACTTCCTAGTGCGCACCTGAACTTGATACAGATAATACCAAAAGGTTTTGGCTCAATTTTTTTCCACTATTATAATATTTTCTGTCCTGATATGATTAATTTACACTTGTAATAATGAATTAGTATTGTTATACTGCTAATTGATTTTATTTCTGGAACAAGTGCTGCTCTTCTCTTTTGTAAAATTTAGTAATATTTACATCTAGAGAAAAATGAAAAAAATTAAATATAAATTGTTTTGCAATGGCACATTTTATATTTTTAAAGGTGTTTTTGGTTTCGTTCCTCTGAGATGTTTATTATCCTTTTACTGTCCAGCATAGTGATTTCTTGAAAATAAACAACTATCAAGGAATATTTTAAGCTCTATAGCTTTTAATTTCTTGGGGTTTTTCACCATTTTATATGGAAATACATTCCTTCATCTTCCTTCTTGCTGTATTTTGGTTTATATGACGTTCATCAAGGAGAGTTGAGTGGAATAATAACAACAAAAGAAAGTTACAACTCGTTTATTTTTCAGATTTTTAAGCCTAATTCTTGGTTGTAGTGCATGCACATACCCTTAAGATCTGAAAAGCTGTAGCCTTGGCAGAACACAGCTTATGCCAATTCATGTCCCATATTCTTGAGCAAGAATAGCACCTTGACGCTCCATCTTCCCTTCTTCTTGAAGATTCTTCAGCTTTTTGTTTGTACGAAGTTTCAGTAGAATTAAAAAATACATTGATTCTTGTAAATGATATAGAAAACATTGACCGAGAAAGCCCAGAAGCCATGAGAAGACAGAACACAACTGTGGTTCTCTTCTAAGCTTAAATGTAGCAGAGGGAAAATCAGGTAGCTCCAATAAGCAGTGTCACAATAAATAACAAAGGTCGAACTGTTTCATAAGGATGTCAGTAATGTTGTCAACTTCTCACATCTTTCTCTTTCCTTAGGATAAGGGGTCAGTTAGTGACTATGTGAGGTGGGATGCTTCCCAATTTTCTTTAGGCATCCCAAAAGTAGACCTGTAAATCTGACATTCTCACCTTGTAGTGTACTGACAGTTAATGGAGAGAAACATGTGCCTGACCTCTCAAAACCACTTAGCCACATAAGATAAATTGCTCACTTAATGTTAGAAGTGTTGTGTCACCCCTGGTTCTTCCTTGATGAGCTCTAAATCTTCATAAAAGATTTCCCTCATTAATTTATTGACCTAATCTAGTATTATGTGAAAGAAATAGGTCTGGTTTGTCTTTAATGTTAATCAGTACTGACTCAGATGTGACTGTGAATATCTCTTTTACTGTCATCTAAAATAGCTATTGTTGTGTCCAGCTCTGTAAGCACTGAATGAGAAAGCATGAAGCAGTGTCATTGGTAATTGTTCTTAGGCTCCATGGATGGATGACTGTGTTGGAGTGCTGTCCATTTCCACGCACAGATGAGGGGCAGATTGAGCCCCTAATCTCTTCAAATGAAGCTTGTTTCTGTAGGCTTCACAAATACGGAGAGCTGTATCAGAAATGGGCAACAAGACAAAAATGTACCGTCAAAATTTTCTGTGAACTGACTTCCATGTTGTAGATGGCCTTCTAAGTCTTCCTCTCTATCAGAATTTCCTACACCAGACCAAAACCAGGATCCTGGTGCAAATGGATATATGATGAGTGGTGATGGTTGTTTTCCTGCTGTTAAACAATTTGTTGTGGTTTTTTTCTTTCCAAGCTGTGAGTTCTGCTGACTCTATAAAACCAAGTCTGAGGTCAAGGGAAAAGGCAGTACCAACCTACTTTTCAATATATAAATCCAAGTTATCTCCCTTGCCACAAATTTATCTTTAACAGCTGGTACATTTG